CTTGCTGTAATTTTGTCTTGAAACTTTACAAATATTTATCAGTTAACCTCTTAAACAGATTGAACATTGTGCTATGGGTAGCATATACATTTTATCAGTGTAATAAAAACTGGTTACTGCAAGTCGTTGGATTTATTGTCCTTCTCCGATGTGGGTTGATGTGACCGTGGGTGGGGCAGGACGGAGAAGCAGTATCGGGTATCGTGCACACATTCTCAGAGCATAGAATGTTGTTCAAGCTCAAAATGAACTTTTTTGTTTTCTGTGACACATTTTAGTGCGTGCAATGTTGTGTGTGTTTGGGCTCATGTCTTACTAAATGAATTGGTTACAAAAATGGATCTGTGTTTACTGTGCACTGCATACACAAAATGGATCTGTGTTTACTGTGCCTGTATACACAAAATGGATCTGTGAGTACTGTGCACTGTATACACAAAATGGATCTGTGATTACTGTGCGCTGTATACACAAAATGGATCTGTGATTACTGTGCACTGTATACACAAAATGAATCTGTGATTACTGTGCACTGTATACACAAAATGGATCTGTGATTACTGTGCACTGTATACACAAAATGGATCTGTGTTTACTGTGCACTGTATACACAAAATGGATCTGTGTTTACTGAGCAGTGTATACAAAAAATGGATCTGTGTTTACTGTGCACTGTATACACATAATGGATCTGTGTTTACTGTGCACTGTATACACAAAATGGATCTGTGTTTACTGTGCACTGTATACATAACAAATCTGTTGGTACATAAATACCTTACAAGTATGTCATTCATTGTAAGAAGCACTTTTTTTCAATTTCATTAAAAAAAAATTTTTTTGAACAGTCCATAGCAGTTATATCCTCTCTATTGGACAGTGTAACTTAAATAGTGTACATTGGTGCAGCTGGAAAAGTGTAATAAAATTATTGTAAAATAACCACTTGAAATACCCTCTTAAAAGATCACAGGTCTGAATGCAAGAGCAAAGAAATCAGATAATACTGATAACAAGAGAAAAATAACTTAATTGACAGATGCCTTGGTATCTTGAGCTGAATCCAACAATGAACACATTTAATACATGCATATACCAGATCACTTACACTGCCTACTACCAATTACCAGAAGTTGGTCATTATGATTGAATCATTTTCATTTTCAAAAAAAAATTACCAATGTGTTATTTTTTAATATTCATTTACTTTGAAATATTTTTTTAAAAAAAAGGATGTACAAAAATCATATCAGTTTATTAAATAATTTATTGTTTAATTACTTTTTGTTTCGTATCAACCTAGCCAAGGTCATATTTTTTTTTTCACTGATAAAAATTCATTATCTTTGTTTTTAATGCTACTAGCCCTCAAAACTTCTATAAATAAATATGAGTATTATTGTTGCAATAATTTTATTGTGGGATACTTTGCTGTAAATGAGTTATCCTAATTGGCTGTTGATTTGATTCCCTGTTATTATATGAATCATTATGATGTTTGATACTGAGTGCAGAATTTGCAAAAGTCTTGTTTATAAGTTGTCATTTACTGTGAATAAATAATGGTGACATTTTAAAATACATGTAGAATTGTGTGCACATCTATTTACCATCTTTTTAATGTCTATCCCTGCTGTGTAAAGTTGTTTTAGATCTGTCATATTGATCTCAATGAGCTAAATTTAAAATAATCTTATGGTATTTCTTCCTTTGAAAGAAAAAAAAGGGGTAAAATAACATTGTTTGCTAATAAAAATATAGAATTATAACAAAATTTTTGATATAAGATGTTTAGAAGTATAAATAACTCATGATTGCTCAGCTTTATTGAAATAATATAAATAAGATGCTTTAAATGTATTTTTTACCTGCCATAATCAGAATTTATCTAAAGGTAATGTTCTTTGTTAGTATTTTCCCCATATTAACTCCCCATTGATATTTTTCAAAATTTTTTTTTACGCCTTGGAATTTGTTTCCCCTTTGTGACCTGTACTAACAGTTCTGAACCTTTTACTCTGTTCTGAACCTTTTACTCTTAAGTGTTCTGAGAATTTGAAAATCTTGAAGGGATCAACCAAAATGTAAGATTATATCATAGATTCATTGATTTCAAACACCGTCTCCCCACCTGGTTAATTGTTATTCCCCTCTCCATTTTTTTTTCTGTACCTGCCGCTGTAAAGTCCCGGGAGTTTAATATTTTTTATAAATGGAACATGTTGAAATGTTTCTGTATATACGGGTGGTGACGTGTTATGTTTTTTTTTTTTTCATTTTCAAATAAGGAAAAAAATTCACTTGCTTAAAAATGTGTCTTCACTGGCCACTTTTTTACAGTGATAATCAGTATTGAACATATTGTGTGGCAATGAACCTCTTTTATCTGTGAATGAAACACAAAGCCTGGGGTTAAGGCAACATAGATCAGTTTTGTTTTAGAATCAGACAGATGTTTTTGTAGTAACATTGAAATCAGAGCTGCAGAGTTGTTGAGTGAGACCTGTTTGGTTTGAAATTTTAAATTTTTCAAAGGCCTCAAATTTTTTTGGGAAAAGTTTTTGTGATGTTAATCTTTAAAGACTTAAATAATAAAAAAAAATTCTGAAGTATGGAGCTTGCTGTTATTGTTTTATATTGAAAAAATATCCCCCCTTCCCTAAAATAAATAAAATAATGACATAATTCTTTATCAAATTTTATCAGAGGGGGGAAAAGGGGGATTTTACATTAAAAAATGTGATTCTGCATTTGTCATTGAAACAATCAATAAATAGAATAAATAAAACCAAAATGTAGTAAAATGGTTTTCAGTTTATTTATTTATTTCTGAACCAGAGACTTAAAAGTATGACTTAACTTACTTATAAGTAACCAGGCAATTGAAGTTTTAAAAAAAAAAAATTGTTTCATAAAACTTAAAACACATTGGTTAAAAATAATAATCTTATTTTAAGAGTACAAGAGTTGAAGGCAGGTGAGTGGGATAATTTATGATTAGTTCATATCTCCAAATGTTCCTGTTATATCCTTGCACTATTAAAAAGTCTTACTGTTACTGTTGTAAAAATTTCTTTCATTTTTTATTGCACAAATACATGTTGTGCATGTATTACTTAATATTACCTTCACACAATTATTTTTTTTTTAATGCATATTTTGGAGGTTGTAAATATTTTGTAGCCTTTAAAAAATATTTTTTAAAGAAAGTTTTGTGATTTTATTTAATCTATTAAATTTAATAAAAATGTTTGATGGACTTTTGAAAGGACTGCCATTTTTAAAATAATTTTTATCTTAAATTTTTTAAAATTTAAGTTAATTTAAGACTGAAAATGAAAAATATTTTCTATATTTGTGTACATTGTTTTACAGAAGAAATTTTGTTTGTTGAAGGTTTACAGTCACTTGGATTGCACCCACTTTTTCTTGTGAGTGATAACAACTATCTGCCTGAAATCGTATCCATTTGTGTAATAAAAAAAAAAATATGGAAAATTTACTTTTTTAAAAGATCAAGCATTTCCCAAGATGTCCGAGAAACGATAAAATAAATCCTACCCAAAACTTAGTTTTCACTGTCATACGACTTCAAGTAAGTGTTATTTAACACAATTGTTACGATACAGATTATTTAATCGTGAAAATATGAAATTTCTCACAACTGCCTTGCAGTGCTGTTGTATGCTCCCATCAAATGTGATCTTGACACGTGGAATGACATTAGTGATACCACTACGCGCATGTCTTTGCGATTTGCAAAAGAACATTGTGTTCAGAGGCATCCCACGCTTTTTATTTGCTTGTATGACCATAACAACTCTAAAGTTTTGGGGGACATTTATTTGATACTTTTTAAGTATATATTTGAAAAAACATTTTTTTTTCAAAGTATATTTTTATATTGTGTTATTTTGTACTTTTTAGTTATTGGAAGATATAAGAACCAAATTAGTAGACTGGAACATGATTTAAGAACAATACATTAGTGAAAACCCAAAAACCTGATGTCCCTGTCCCCATTACTTTCAGTTCCTGAGCTATCTGCAGAGGTCACTCGAGGGTCACTCAAGATCACTGGTGACCCACTGATCATAAAAAGTTGGGGTGGGGGCATTGTTAAGTGTACAAAGTTTCAAATGAATAGGAAATCAGGAATTTAATTAAAATCCAATAACAGATTTCAACTCACACAAATCACACAAGGAGACAGAGCAACCCTAAGAAAAAGCATATAAATTATAGCACACTTTCCATCACTTAACAATTAGAGCAAATGTGTTGAGTGACTCTCATCAACTTTTTGAATGTTTTATTCCCATATGTGTGCCCATTGAGATGCTGGCACCACTTTAATATCTTTAGTTACAAGCTATATAAATTCTACTTAAAGAAAAAGAAAATCTGATAAATCAAATATTTTTCATTAAAAGTTTCACGTCTGGCCTCTGACTATTTCTATATGAACCTTAGATTAAAAATGGTAAATATTTCATACACATACATGCGATAGCTATGTATACATAGATGAAATTATTTTGTTTGCTATGAACAAAGTACGAGTCCTGTCAGTCATGGCCTGAGTGGTTGAATTTAAACTACTCAGCTGTTTTCCAATTCTTATTTTATTTTTTTTTCAATGGGGGTCCCATGCTGCACATATTTTTTGTTGATTAAAAGAAATAGACTGATGATCCTTTTAACTGCATTTTTAAATATTTTTTTTTAAAAACACTTCATTTATGCTAATATCTACCGCCGTCATTTCAACTTGTCACTTTTTAACATGTCAATTTTCAACATGTCACATTTCAACATGTCACATTTCAACATGTTACATTTCAACATGCCACATTTCAACATGTCACATTTCAACATGCCACATTTCAACATGCCACATTTCAACATGCCACATTTCAACATGCCACATTTCAGCATGTCACATTTCAACATGCCACATTTCAACATGCCACATTTCAACATGCCACATTTCAACATGTCACATTTCAACATGTCACATTTCAACATGCCACATTTCAACATGCCACATTTCAACATGTCACATTTCAACATGCCACATTTCAACATGCCACATTTCAACATGTCACATTTCAGCATGCCACATTTCAACATGCCACATTTCCACATGTCACATTTCAACATGCCACATTTCAACTTGTCACATTTCAACTTGTCACATTTTAACATGTCACCAACCCATTGGACAGTGTTTCATGTGGTTTAAACAGATGAGTGAATTAAATCTCTGTAATTCAAAAATTAATATTTAGACGGACTTAGAAAAAAAACTTAATGTCAATGGTTTTATGTGTATTGAGAAATTTTCTATGTGTTGATTAGACTTGGACTTAAGGAGCAATTTTTGTGTAGTAGAACAATATTTTGACTTGAAAAAAAAAATTAGTAAACATGAAAGGTAACTTCAACTTGTTATGTTCTTTTTTAAAAAATTGTTCTAAATCAAAGCCTGTTACCCCCCTCCCCCCAGACCCCGGCCCCCATATGCGTGGTGCTTGTTCCAAGCTTAACAGCGGTATTTACACCAATATAATTTTGTGCTAGTGAGGGAAAGGGGTTTGGAGACGCCCTTAGAGAAAAATACACAACATAGAAACGAGTGAGAAGAATATACAGCAGAGAACGTCGTAGGTGTAACTGGCCTGCATGCTGGAACAAAAAAAAAATATTGCATAAATCTTTTACAGGGGTTCTTCTTCCCTGCGCTGTTTGCTTTCTTTGCCACCAAGGGCCTACGAATGACACATCAACTCTTTTTCGATTGGTATCTGGTGGGCACATTTTAAAAATGTTGTTCGTCCGTCGAGGATCGACGATGACCATCGAGTCGTCTGGTGACTGATGACTTGCGCGGGTGACTTTTGTTTAAAGTGAGGAAGAGTTGCTCAGCGTCAACCTCACTCTCTCGTCCGAGCCCACCATATCCAGTGGCAAGACTCTACGTCAAGACGACCAGGGATGGGTACGGTTGCAGGAATGGACATTGTATGCGCCTTACGGGACTCCAACTCCGGGTTTGAATTCAGAGTTTCCTTCTCTTAGATGAGTTGCCGACCAAGGTTAACGAGTCTCATCCACCCGGGGTGATGTTTTTGCTTGACCGGCCTTTGGCTGAAATTGAGGTTTGCTCAGTTTAGACCATTCGGCCACCCAGTCACCCAATATGGTCCTACACGCCTATGGCACCTCTGGGGCCTGCGGTGTGCTGGTGGGTTTGTCACCAATTGATTTTTCTTTTAGAATGCGCGAGGCTACTGGTAACTGAAAAGGGAATTACCTGGCAGATAGCGCAAAATACCCTATTTGATACAGATTCTCAAACTCCGTAATTAACTAAAAAAGGGTTCCATTTTATCTTAAATAACGATATTTTGTTTACGAAAGATTACAAGGTAATTTTTTCTCGAGGGGTTCTTGTGATCTCAAATAACTATTGTTTGGTTAAAATGTTCATTAGATATTTCTTTAAGTACATTCGAAGCTTTGGAAAGCTTTGTTATGTCACATGAGATCCTTTAACTTGTCAAAGCATATCATGATGAATTTTGAGTTAATTACCAATACAATCCAGCGATAGTCACATGCTGTTGGATTTGTTAAAATATTTTCTATTTAACATTTTTTTTAGGATTAGAAAGTCGGAACGTAATCACGCTCTTTCACCACTCCTCACCACTCCTCACCACTCCTCACCACTCCTCACCACCCCCACCGCAAATATTTGATTTTTAACCTCATTTTTGTAAAAATAGATAACACATTTTGTTTTAAAATGGAACTAAAATATTTTAAGTATGTTAAAAAAAATTGAAAATAATAATGTCGTATGATTGCATCTGTTTCCACCCAAACCCATTTGCTCCGTAATAATCATGTCATATAAACATAAGATTCTCTTAGTGAAATTTGTGAAACAGTATCAAGTTAGTATTTAAAAGTTCACATATCTCTTGGATCAATGTATTTCTTTTACAATGGGGTATATTTAATCTTCAGTTTTAAAATGTTATTTTAAAAGAAAGTATTGTTTATAATATTTATTTGTCACCTGGATCAGATAGATTACGCGTATGTGACACGAAGAGATTCAGACTAAACGTATGTTTAAAAAATATATTAATTAATATTTCATCCATTGTAACGCCTTATCAATTTTATTACAACAAAATAGTTGAAACAACTTTTCTATCAATTTTTTTGTTTGTTTAAAGGTTGTAAAAGATGTGTTTTATTTTATTTGTATGAATAGATAAAAATGGTGTTTATTTTAGCCTTGAGTCGTTGATTATAATCTCAAGTTAACAAAGTTCATGAGCAAAACTGAATTTAAAACAAAGCCCGTGTTTGAAATAGTTTTGACTTTGTTTAAGTTAAATGACATAATTAAAGTAAATGCCAAGTTCAAGTTACGTTTCCCTAAAAATCATATAATTCACCAAGAAATCTCATTCTTATTTACGCCCTCCATCAACACCAACCTAGACTTTTCTAAATTCTCTTTCGTTTTTCTCATCATCTTCGTTAGCCTCGTCTGGTTCATATTTTCGTTGAAACAAATCTCAAATAGTGTGAGCACTGTTTAAACTATTAAAAAAAGTTCAACCACACATTATAGATCCCGTTAGACTTACATTGTTTAAATTTAATTTATTCCACTTAGTAAAAACATAAAATTGTCTGCGTCAATGAAACATCCTTTTTAAAAAAAAATATGATCAAGAGAGAACAGCTGTGAAGCAAAGTTAAAACATTAAAATATAAATCCAAGTATACAGAAACTTTTTTGCATTTTTATGCTCAAATCTCAGTGAAACAGTCATGAAAAAAAATAAATAAAATAAAGATTTGAGTAATTTTTACTCAATATCATAAAAAATGTCAATCAGATCTTTCAGTTCCATTCGTTGCCCATTGAACTTTTATTTATCACAGATTAAGTAGGATACAAATCAATTGAGATCCATTATAAATCAAATGAAAATCACAACTTCAAAACGGTTAAGATTCAGACCAATTACAATGTCTGCAATTCACATCATCTCGATTCATTCATGGCTCAACTAGCATAACGTTATGTACAAACATTTTACATGTGAATGTTGCTATCCGAAACCAGTTTCATTTCATAGCTCATGACGTAGCATTAGTATGTAACATTCTCTAATACTATGTTCAAAAAATCACTTAACCACAGCACATCATAACAACGTGTCTCACAGAGTATACAAAGACATGAAAAAAGCCGAAAAAGTCAACCAGATCCCCGGGCTGGAGATCATCTTTACTCCTTGATTGGTATGATTCCCCTGATTTGGCGTGAAATAATATTCATCAATGACATCGGCGAAACAGTCGCAGCTGATTTCATGCTCCTCGATGCACAGAATGTGTACAATGGCTTGTTGAGAATCTAACGCCACTAATGGCGAGTAGGTTGTAGCTGTATCGACCGTTTTGTTTTCTTTGATGATCATGAAGAGATTTTTGCCAGCATTGACATCATTTTCCCTGAAACATTCTAATATCGATGTGTTTGTATTGAGCAAACATCTGAACTTCTGGCCTCTGTTTGTGTAGTTGAGTGATGGAGTTTCTGAACTTTCTATTTCCGTCACCGAATTGTTATGGTAATGTGCGCTACAGATGCTGTTATTTGGGTTAGTTATACACTGGAAAAATCTGGAAATATAAAAGAATCAAATGATCATTGTTATTTAAAAAGAAAAATACAGTTTGAGGGAAATATTATGTGTTTCTGTGTGTAGTTATAATATTATGTGTGTGTATACGGTGAGTGCATGTGTATCATTATCTCATAATGTGTGTCTCTTTGTTCATCTTTGTGTCTGTATCTCCTTTTTTGTATGTCTGGATGTCCATCTGTGTGTCCGCCATTAAGCGTATTTTGGCTCCTTTTTTCAACTATAATGAATGTTTACAATAATACGTTCATTATAAGTATTTATTTTTAGTTCTGTAAATAGAATTATAATGCTAATTTAAACATAACTGTACAGCTTGTATTGAATATAAATGGAGAATCATTGTCTTACATTGTGTACAGTGAAATGCCGAAGGATATTTGTGTGAGAACCTTATGAGGAGGATCTGTGTCGACGGTCAATGCTAGCAAAATTCTACTGTCATTCTGTGGCCATGATGTGGCGTTGACTTCTAAGAAACATAATATATTATTATAGATTATGTAGAAAAGTCATAATTTCAACACAACACATTTTTTAATAAATAAAATACACTCAGCTTACATTTTTGTCAGCAAAATTACATCCTGTTAATCTCAAACTAGCAGAGACGCTGCCTTCATGGTATTAACTCTCGCGTGGCGTGACGTCGGCTACATAAGGTCGTGTAAGAGCAGTCAGATAAAATCGACATCCAGGGGCATATCCCTTTTGTAAGAGAAGAGACACATGTCTGAATAGGCGTTGATTAGCGGCGTCGTAAGTCCCCGCGCAGCCCAGCGCCGTTGCAAGTTCATCTTCTGACTAATGATGTGTAAATTGTGTCTAAGTGACTGTCCATCGAAACACAAACAACACGCGCAATGTCGTTGGACCTTTGCACATCCCAAACACTGTCCTTGAACTACCCAGATCTTTAGATCCACGAATTTCCGTTGGTCTGAAATATCTCTCTTCAACACTACACAACCCCAGGAACACATGCATCAAAAAAACAACAACATTTTTTGTGTGTGTTTAAAATCATATTCATTATCGACACCTCACCACTTAAGGCAAACCATATCGTATTACTACGATAAGAATGTGGCTAAACATTATAAAAAGCGGAAGTCAACGAAAGTATCTCTTATTTAATAATATATTTATGTGTAAGTGTTTTTGTGTGTTTGTGGGTGGGAGTTAGTGTGGTGAGCTGATTTGAAGCAAACACATTTTTGTGATGGGGAATGTATTTGAGAGATTCTGTGTTTTATTACAGGCTCTTGTGTCACATATTTAACAATATTATAATAGAAACTCCAAGTTCTACTTACAAAAGTATTTCTCAAATATTCTGAAACCAGGAGCTTTGTGGTTCAGTTGATACCGGTGTTGGGGTACATTTTCCATGTCAAAGAGACATATCTTTAATTTTGATCTAGTACGTACTGAATTTCCAGGGCCACATGATAAGGGTCAAAGAGTCACATGTGGCTCGCGATAAGCAGCTTCCCGACCCCTGGCTTAGCTCAATACAAAAGTGCAACGAACCATTAAAAATGGTTCTCACGATCACCCACACATTTTACAAATCTGGGTTATATGTTCAAATCAAATTTAGCATTTAGGACATGCAATTTTTTAAAGTTCTGTGGCGTATAAAGACTTCATATATAATCTTCCACCAATATTATCATTCAAATATTTTTGAAGTAATGATGGCTGTGTGACATAGCAATTGCCATTTGTCCTTAAACCCTAATTTCATAATTTCTCTCCTTGGGATAATATTATATTCCCGTGTTTCCACAAATTTTGAGGTTTGATGACCGCTGGAGAAGTTTGCCAATGCATCAGGGACCGTTGCCAGTTTTATTTATTTTTTTTTAATATTTTACTACACACATAAATATGTCATAAAATATTGGTTTAATCCCCAATCAGCCAATTCAAAAGACCTCTCTACATATTACGATCGCCATTTAATGTTAGCTGTTCAAAGAGTTGTTTTCTTAAATGGATGTTTCACTTTTTTTTTAAAGCGATAGCAAGATTCTTTTCTAAGGTTAACGGAACGGCAACAAAAGACTTCATATTGCAACTTAGAAAAATATATAAAAAAATTATATGACAGTTATGGGTAAATTAAATAGTTCGTAATTAGTGCTGTTCATGACTTGGCGTAACTGCATCGATTATTATTTACTCATTCCTTTTCAGGACGAGCCTGGAATATTGTTTTTTTAAATAATAAAAAAAGAAACAAAACAACATAATCATAATATAATTTAGCTAGAAAAAGCCCGCAAAACAATGGCGGTGGCAATACGTGAACTTCCAATCAACTATATTTACTTGAGAAGAAATGCATTCAAGCAACACATTTTATACAAATCGCAATAAGCCATAAATTCGGTGAATTTTATTTTTACGCGCCTATCGAACACTTCGTTAAAGCCATACATACATGGAAAAAAAAGTATTAATTGTGATACCATATTTCACTACAATATCGCCAACGCGTCTGATTAGTGCAAAAAATCAAACTTTACCTGCTGTCGTGTTTTGGCAAAAATGTGTTTCCACTGATGCCCCTGTTATCGTCTCACTAAAGCAGGTTATTGTCACAAAGACAAGTAAGCACGCCGTCAACGATTCCGTCATGTTTAATTCACCTGCAAGTTGAATAACATGTTTATTGTTTTTGTCACAGTACGAAATACATATTTTGGTAACAATAACCTTAATAGTAGTATTAAATCTATTTTTATTCATTTTTTTTTTAAAGAAAGGAGCAGCCCCTTGTACGTTTTAAGTTAAAGAAATTTGACTAGCAAAGGCTGACGCGTGTTGGCTTGATCCGTCTTTCTTCGAACTCTACGTCTCATCCATGATAATCAGACTCTTCGGACAAAGAACTGGAGCTCGTGATGATGACACATGATGGAAAATTCGTCTTTTTCCTTTATCCGTCCAGTGTGTAGCTAAGATTCAGGAAACTTCAATTTAGCTGAATTCTGAATATCATTTTACGTAAATGTAACTGAATTCTTAACACCACTTTACCGTAATAAAGGTACACAAATAACAAATATTTAAATTTTAAAAACAACAACAAAGAACAAAAGCTTTACCTTAAGTTTCTTGGTGTGGAACAGATTTCGCTCTATTTAAAACTCAGCTGGTTTGCACACTGAAAGTGTATCAGTCAACTCTGTATGACTTAAAAATCTAAGAAAAATCTTGTAACAAATATAATTTTTTTTTGCCTCCTACACTCAATGGTCTTCTCCTCTCTTAGCCACGATCTTGTGTTCCAAGCTATCGCGATGGTATGTTTGCTTTGGCCTATGCACGCAGCAAGCTTGTATCGACTAATAGTGTAACTGACAGACTCGGTCCATGTTTGCCTCCGATTTATTCTATTAGTTCTCATGATGACGTCATGGCGTTTTATCTTCATTCTAAATTAATAAAAGCGTGATCGTTTAAAAATAAAATGAAAAAAAAACTATCTGTTCTAAAATTAGAATAGATAAGATTGGTGTTTTGTACTTTTCCAAATTTCAAACGACGCCTTGTTTATTTCGAAATTTTAAACGCGTGTTCCATTTGTAGGCCTACTTAGTTTAGTGAAATGTAAATGTTTTATTTACTCATCAACAGATGAGATTTCTATTGGCATTAGTCACATTATTTCTCATTGACTTTTTAAAGATCTCATTTCAGGTGTGCGTTGTTTTTTAACAGACCATTCAAATAAAATAATGAATTGAAAAATATAATAATAAAGGACAAAAGAAATATTAAACAACAAATTATAAATTTTATTAACTATGTCAGGCAGAGTTTGTTTTGTTTTTTAATACATTTTTTACCGCATCTTGTTTTATTAATAGAATGTTTCTTACTTAAACATGTTCTTTTTTTAATCTAGAAAAAGACAGGAGCAAATAATTTCGTAAAGCTGTCATAACTCTCAGCATTTAAATTCTTTCAAATATTTGTATGAAGATTGTAAAAAAGCTGAGGAAAGCGGCTTCAAGGCAGACCTGGGCCTAGAAATGGCTTAGATGGAGGGATGATATGAAGAGGGATCTACAGGAGCTGGGAATCCAAGGATTTAGAAGAAAAATCATCACTGGGATGAATGGATTTAAATATGAAATAAACAAAATAGTCTAGCTCTAATGACACTACGGCAACAATATGTAAGTTTTTGTCCATGCTCCCGAATACGACCAAGGCTTTTTTTGACAGTGAACACGGATGTATCTAGTTCAGTCCTGAGCAGCTAAAAATGTAAGGCGTGTCATAATACTTTTTTTTTAAAAATTGTTCGGGCTGAAAGAAAAATGACAGTGGGGGGAGGGGGGAAGCTTTTGAGAAAAGAAAAAATAATAGTTTGTTACTTCGCAGGCCGCAAAAAGGTGCTGGCGGCCACATACAGGCCGTACGCTGTTCAGGCCTGTAGCCTATTTAGTCAATTAAATGCCAGGAAAGCTTGCCCAATTGTGGGGCACATGTACCCATGTGTTTTTAAGAGCTAGGGATTGGTGGCAATTGTACTGTTACTTGCTGTTCGCTTTGTTTGGACGTAAGCGATACCTTCCCTCTTTGAAGATTGTGCTCCAACAGTGAGTCTGCCATACGAGCTCGTGCTCCAACAGTGAGTCTGCCGTGCCAGCTCGTGCTCCAACAGTGAGCCTGCCATGCCAGCTCGTGCTCCAACAGTGAGTCTGCCATGCCAGCTCGTGCTTCAACAGTGAGTCTGTTATGCCAGCTTGATCGATCCAAAGCAAAGTTTTCCTCTGAGTTCATGTCGATGGTCATAGATTTGAGAGAAAAAAAAATGTATATCTTCTTTTGCTACTTAACAGCTGTACATTGCTTTCAGGTTTGATTAGGCAAACAATACCCTTGAACATGGCCTAGCTATGGCTATTCCTGCCACCTTCCCAACAAAAAACTCTGCATCTACCCCAAAAGACCCCCTTCAATATATAGAAAAAATTGTCACCCGTTGCGGACCATGACCTTTCACCCCACCCAAGAGTACCTGACTAAAGTCTAGATGCCGAAAAAAGTCATTATGCATTGTTTTTAGGGACGCAGTGGATTGAAAAATATAAGCAAAGCTCAGTTACCCGTTGAATATGAGGGATAAATATAACGTTAAACAAAACCCTTAAATAAACCCAATGTAGCAACAAACAAATTGTTCCCAGTGAGTCACAAGCTAAAGTGTTGTACCCAATGTAGCAACAAACAAATTGTGCCCAGTGAGTCACTAGCTAAAGTGTTGTACCCAATGTAGCAACAAACAAATTGTTCCCAGTGAGTCACTAGCTTAAGTGTTGTACCCAATGTAGCAACAAATTGTGCCCAGTGAGTCACTAGCTAAGTGTTGTACCCAATGTAACAACAAACAAATTGTGCCCAGTGAGTCATGGCTAAAGTGTTGTACCCAATGTAGCAACAAACAAATTGTGCCTAGTGAGTCATGGCTAAAGTGTTGTACCCAATGTAGCAACAAACAAATTGTTCCCAGTGAGTCACTAGCTAAGTGTTGTACCCAAAGTAGCTACAAACAAATTGTGCCCAGTGAGTCACCGGCTAAAGTCGTGTACCCAATGCAGCAAAGACAATATGTGCCCAGTGAGTAAATGGCTAAAGTGTTGTACCCAATGTAGCAAGAAACAAATTGTGCCCAGTAAGTCACCGGCTAAAGTGGTGTACCCAATGTAGCAACAAACAAAGTGTGCCCAGTGAGTCATGACTAAAGTGTTGTACCCAATGTAGCAACAAACAAATTGTGCCTAGTGAGTCAATGGCTAAAGTGTTGTACCCAATGTAGCAACAAACTAATTGTGCCCAGTGAGTCACTAGCTAAAGTGTTGTACCCAATGTAGCAACAAACAAATTGTGCCCAGTAAGTCACCGGCTAAAGTGTTGTACTCAATGTAGCTACAAACAAATTGTGCCCAATGAGTCACTAGCTTAAGTGTTGTACCCAATGTAGCAAATAATAAACTTTAGTGATTCACTAGTTGAAGAGGTGTTTTTGATGTAGCAACAATCAACGTGTGCTCATTGATTCACTAGTTGAAGAGTTGCACCCAATATACCAACAAAAAAAATGCACATAGTGAGTCACTAGCTGAAGTGTTGTACCAGACAGGCACGCTGTTATTAAATTAACCCTTATCATATGACGGGAGTGGTAGCACGACACAAAAAAAGAAGACCACAGTTTTTGACATAATCACATACGTCATTTCCAAGCTAATTTTTTATAATTTTTTTTTTTTTTACAAGGGACTCTTTGAAATATGATATATTTAATGATGCAGTTTTAAAAAGTATGACATGAAATGATGTCTTCTTATGTAGACATTGTTAAATTCCTTTATTTAACAGTAGGCCTATCCAATGTGTTATATAATGTAAACGAAATGGTGACATTAAAATTCCCTTTAAAAATTAATACTGTGGGGTTGCTAAGTATTTTTTTTTTAACTTACAACACATTAAATCATGTTACTAGCTTAGCGTTAAACACCTTGTTAATTTGTTATTAATCATTTCATATCAGGCTGTGACCCTTTAAAAGTAGGTCAAGCTCGGCGTCCATTATGTTGAATGAACGACGAGAGTCAGACGAAAGATTGCAAAGTTGCTGTAAGTAAGAGGTTCCATATTAAGGAGTCGGATTATCTCCTTGTACAATAGGAATGTTATGTGATAACTAACACGGTAATATTGTAAAAAAAAACGCAACATTAGATAACTTGTTAAACTTTACATGTAACGAAAGCAAAATTGTAAGACCTGGAAACTACTGTCGCGCTATGACCTAGTTTCAATGCCAATCAGTGGTACCACATGTCCTCGGTGGACTTAAGGTGAATCTGTATCGATTTTTCCCTCAGAATAAGAGAAATAATTGTGACTCGTCGTAGTACGAGTCTGTAAAATAATGTGCTGAAATATTACGTCTCGAATATGTATTAAAAATTAATCATACCATTATGTGCTTTTATTTCGTAATAAATTTTCATTTCGCGATACTTTGATGTGTTGTTTTCCATCTTTAGCTACAGAAGTAGCGTCACCTGATGACTCCAACTCTTAGCAGTTTGAGCTGTAATCCTGTAAGGATTTAATCGATATTTTTTTTTTTTTTTTGTTGTTGATCATTCTATGTTCGCCGACTTGAAGCGATGACGACATTGAATTTAAAAATAGATTGTGTATCACCGTTTGGCCCAGTAAGCGACAACCAAGACTATCATGACATATGTGACGTGTTGGTCGCCTGCTGACCAGCCACTTTTATACATTGTTACGTTGGTGATGACAGCATACTGTTGTTAAGTCTTGATAGTCCCGTGAGTTTTAAGATGAATCATAATTTTCTGCCACTTCCCAGCTCCAAACTGCTTCAATCGCCTAACGGCATCTTTGAGCCCGTCTTGTGGATTTGCAAACAATCTGTGCTTATCTTGAAATATATATTATTATTAGAGATTCAAAATGATATAAAATACGTTTCTTTAGCTGGAAAAAAGTATAGGTCATTATAGAAAAAAAAAAAAAGGATTATATTGACTTATTGAAGTTACGATAAGTTAATACAGGATTAGATCCTTTTTTTTATCCAAATAGATGGGTTTTTCTATTATGGTATATTTATTAATTTTTATCACATGAACATTTTAACCGAGACAACATTTTACAATTATAATAATTTAAAAAGAAGACATGGTACGTATTTCTCTAGCGTAGAAATCCGCCAGCAATGAAGACTCTTAATTAGAATAATGACTTAATTAGTGATCATTTAGATTTGGTAACCACTAGGTGGGAGGGGGGGCCGCTGGTAAATTCGTGCAGACTGGGGAACAAAATAATTTTTTTTAATTTTTAATTTCTAACTTTAATAGAAAGAATACGCCCTGATCGAGTTTATCTCATGTATCCGTGATAAAGGAGATAGGATGCATAATTCAAAAAAAAAAATTTTTTTTAACAGTATGTTTCTTCAAGGAATTCTTTAGTTTTCATTGTGTATTATTATATAATGTTAGTTTAAATAATTACTGCTCTTCTGTTCTAATCGAATGTTTACAAATTTAACGAAAGATTAAGGATGAGAAAAATTACTTAAAATTACTAGGCCTATATAATCCCTGATATCAAAGGAAAATAACTCTTTCTTTTTCCAAACCAAAAAGAAAAAAGTTACCCAGTTTCTTTGTGGAGTGTGCTTCTCGTGTATCGAAATATTGATATACCTTTGACCTGTTAATTACCTTTTGAACTTAAGCAAACGTACGACAAGGCATAATGTTGGATTACACACAATTAATTAAGTAAGACCATCAATGTTTTATTTATGTATTTTTGTCTGCTATTTACAGCCGATAGATGT